ATTAATAATGTTCCCTTGGTCAACTATTCATAGATAGATATTAAATCAAGTTCTCAATAATGTAGTTACCTCATTTTTTCCTACCCAGCTATTTGGAGGGTCTAAGGCTATAATAATAATAAGCTATAAAGAAGGAACACACTTCATTTTAACTTCTTTCACCAAAACTCTTTTTAGTCATTAGAAGCTTGGAACTCTAGGGTCAGACAAATCTAGAATCAAATTCTACTGCTGGCCCTCAGTAGTAACTTAACACCCAATTCTCAGTTTTCTCCTTTGTAAAGCAATGATGAAAATAGCATCTGTAATTAGAGTCCTTATGTGAATAAACTAGAGATTTTATGTATTGGCTTCAGCCCAGTGACTCGTTACATATTTATTAAAAGTTGTTCCTCTTCCCTGTTCTCTCTTCTCTTCCTTGTTCTCCTCTTACTCCTCTTCCTTTCATGTTTGACCCTCTTCCTTCTTTTCCTCCATCTTTCCTCTTTCACCTCCTTTTTCTTCCCCTTTATTATTATTATTGGCAGTAACCTGGCTTACTTGAGCAGTAAATTCAGGTTCTACCTTCAAGAGTTCCTAAGATGCAAGACAAGCTCTGAGTAGCACACTGTGGGAGATCCACTATTACACATCCCTGACACTCCCTTCCATGGTGGAGAATAGTGAGAGGGAAGTCACTCCTTACTGGGCCTTTCCATTCTAGGGCACTTGGGAGGAGGAAGAAGGAATCCAGAAAGCAACTCACATCCTACAAAAGTCTGTAGAATGCTGCCCTCTCTATGTCCATGTAGACATAGTACCTAGGTCAGAGATTCAAGTTCAATAAGAAATAAATATTCCAGGCCCATGGATAGCTTCTTGTCTTTTGCAAAGCTGACAATAAAAGGCATCATTGTCATGTTCTGTACTAATATACTCTGCTAATCATGAGCCACTTTAACTAAACTCGCCAGAGACAATTTATAGACCAGAGTGAGTCTAGTTTACACAACAGGAGAAATAAAATGGCAGAACTGAGAGATGGAACTTCAGTATTAGGCCTGACTTTGATTCCTGGCTTTGCTACTGGCCTTGAGCATCAATCTATGTTTCCACAGTCTCAGGGTTGGCATGAAGATTAAATGTGACAGCACAGTATAGGGTCTGGGATACTGGAGGTGCTCCGTAAGTGATTGATTGCTTATTACTCAGCTAGTTGGATATTCATTTCAGAACAGCTATAGCTTCATGACATAAGCTTGTTTGGGAAATCAAAATAATACATATAGTTCTATTTGCTAAAAATCATTTAAGGAGGAGAATAAAATAATTTATCCTTTTAGGTGTGCCTTTCAGGAGGCCATGACAGTTGTATCAGCATTTTCCACACTAGGAATGGTGCTGCCCAACTGACCGCATGCAAGTGCCATGTCAGGAAAGACTCAGTTGCACATAATGCCAGGGGCTGAGCCATGATTTCAGGGACTTAAACCAATATCCTTCTTGCCAAGACCTTTTCCCCACCTACCTTAAATTTCACAAGCCGAGCCATTTTTTAATGTATTGCACACCTGATTTACTAAAGTCCTTTTAATGGCAAATATTTCGGGATGTGCTCATATTTATTTTGTAATTGAAATCTTGGAGCCATTGACAACCATTTACTCTGTATTCTGACAATGGAATGAAGTGGGAGAGCATCTGAGAAAAAGAAGAGGTGAGCCGTGGCCGGTTTGGCTCAGTGGATAGAGCGTCGGCCTGCGGACTGAGGGGTCCCGGGTTCGATTCCGGTCAAGGGCATGTGCCTTGGTTGTGGGCACATCCCCCGTGGGGGGTGTGCAGGAGGCAGCTGATCAATGTTTCTCTCTCATCGATGTTTCTAACTCTCTATTCCCTCTTCCTTCCTCTCTGTAAAAAAATCAATAAAATATATTTTTTAAAAAAGGAGAGGTGAAAAGATGTCAGAGAAAATTTCTGATCCCATCACCATCAATCTCCCTGAGCCTGTGTCCCCATGAATACCTCGCCATAGTGTTAACTCTTTCTTTACCAATGGTTTGTCCCAGTGGCTGACAAGTTCTTTCACAGTTATTCTAATCATACTAACAGATGCTTCTGGTTGGGGAATATAAATAAAAACAAAATCTCCTCCAAACCCAGAAAACCACTCCACTCAGGGATGGCTAGTGGAGAAAGAGAAAGAAGGTAGAGAAAGAAGATAATTTTATTATTGAATTAAGCATTGAACCAGAAAGTGATGCACATCACAGGTAATCTAAAATATTGCAAAGACAAAAAGAAACCTCACCCCTTTCTATAACCAACCAGATGCAAACCATTCCATACATTGTGATGGCTAGTTTTAGGTGTTAACTTGACAGAGCCATGTGGTCAAACATTATTTTGGGTGTTTCCGTGAGAATATTTTTGGTTGAGATTAACACTGAAACTCATAGGCTGAATAAAGCAGAATGCCCTCACTAATATGGGTGGGCCTCATCCAATCTATTGAGGGACTGAAAAACAAAAACACTAGCCATCCCCGAGTAAGAGAGAATTCTTTCTGCCTCATATATGTGTTCTCAAGATAAACAATAGTCCTAAAGTAAGAGGACTGACAACACATTTGTCCTAAATTCACTTGGTTAAAATAAATTTTCAGGTTACAAAAAAATGACATCATAAAGAGAAAGGAAAATTGGCTTGCACTGTAGTTTTGTAATTACACAAATGGAACTAAACAATAGTCCTAAAGTAAGAGGACTGACAACACCATTTGTCACACGCAGTTCATCCTAAATTCACTTGGTTAAATAAATTTTCAGGTTAAAAAAATAAATGACATCATAAAGAGAAAGGAAAATTGACTTGCACTGTAGTTTTATAATTACACAAATGGAACTGTGAAAATTCCATATCAATGTAATACTTTGATTTAAAAAGCTTTAGCCCTAGCCAGTTTGGCTCAGTGGATAGAGCCTTGGCCTAAGGACTGAAAGGTCACAGGTTCGACTCTAGTCAAGGCCACATGCCTGGGTTGCAGGCTCAATCCCCAGTAGGGGGCATGCAGGAGGGAGCCAATCAATGATTCTCCCTCATCATTGATGTTTCTATTCCCTTTTCCCTTTCCCTTCCTCTCTGAAATAAATCAATAAATATACACACACACACATATATATAGCTTTAAAAAATGAGCAATTAATTTAATCAGTAATTCAACATTATTCAATCAACAAGTATGTATTGAGCATTTATGGTTTTCAGACACTATTTTAGGTGATGGTGAGACAGTAATGAACAAAGCCGATAAGGACTCTGGTTTCCTAGAACTCTCATACATGAGGCATTATGCTTGTTTGCAAAGAAAACTCATTCACAAAATGAAAAGTATTTGTGGAATCTAATGAACAAAATAAAGTGGACCTGTGGACCGAAGGGTCCCAGGTTCAACTCTGGTCAAGGGCATGTACCTTGGTTGTGGACACATCCCCAGTGGGGCGTGTGCAGGAGGCAGCTGATGGATGTTTCTAACTCTCTATCCCTCTCCCTTCCCCTCTGTAAAAAAATCAATAAAATATATATATATTTTAAAAAGAATATATATACATACCCCACGGACCCAGGCAGTATTGTGGTGATGCCCAAGGGAGGGGGAGGGGGGAAAATGGGTCATACCTACAGTAGTGTCAACATTAAACATTTTTAATAAAAAAAGTACTTCTATGATTCAGGCACACAGGAAACTCATTTTCAAAAAGATGAATGATATTTTCTATGTACTGTTAAGAAGTGAACTTGGGAGTTATTTCTAGAACCAACCTTAACATCCAGCAATTTCTGAAGCAGGAGTTATTTTCACCCAGAAAAATGTCAGCTTCATTTAGTAAGGTGTACTTTTTATTTTATGCTTTCTTTTTGCTTTTGCCATTGCAACTTTTATTAATGGCCATTTATTTTTCTTTTTTAAATATATATTTTTTATTTTTTTCAGAGAGAGGAAGGGAGAGGGAGAGAAACATCAATGATGAGAGAGAATCATCCACTGAGCCACACTGGCTGGGCTGTTAATGGCTATTTAGACTATAGGTGACCTGTTGTGCCACAAGCATTTTCCTAGTGGCAGTGTTACGACAAAGCAGGAAAACAGGGTAATAGATATCAAGGGTTTCTTTCAGAAATACAGTTAATCAGGTAGTTATTGTCAAAATTCAGTAACTTAGAATAACAGCAACTTCTGCTCATGAATCTGTAGAGGCAGCTAACGTAGCTTCGCATGTACTGTGTATCTGTATGCCCTGGACTGTTTCACATGCCTCTCAACCTCCGTGGACAAGGATGGCACGGACGGCATTCATAAACATGTGAGTTCTCCCAATGCCTAGGCTTGGAATTGACACCTTTTTCTCTGTCTACATTCTTTTGGCCAAAACAAGTCAAATGGCAAAGCTCAAGTTCAAAGAACAAGGAAATACCTCCCCCTCCCAATAGAGCAAAGACAAAGATAAAGATGCTAGGAGAGTGAAGAATTGAAACCAAAAATCAATCTATCATAATGACCTTATGATTCCTGTGTCAGCATGAGAAACAGATAGAAATAGAGGAGAAACTGCACTTGTTCAGCTATCCATTTCACTATATTGAAGGCCCTGGCTCCATGTATAAGATGGTCATTTTGGAAGGTTTATATATAGGAATTAAAAAGAGGATGGACTAAATATGTGTAAGCATATAACCTCTAAGGCAGTACTTTCCTAATTGTGTTTAGTAACATTATGGGGTGTGAATCCCACTAATTAAAAATCGCAAATATCAGAGTGAATTAATTGAATGAGGTAAGGGTATTTTTAAATGAAAACATTTGCTCCTGTTACGATGCGCACCTACATGTGTATTGAGTCATATTATAAAAGGCATTTCTTCCTAGTGATTAAAAAAAGTTTGAAAGCCACTGTTTTAAATTAGTTTCTAACTATAAGATGTCATTGAGTCTAGGGCATTCTTCTTTTTAGAAATATTCCTTTTTAGAAATGGTACAAGTCATCTGATTTGAAAAATGAACAATTTTTCTGGTGCTAGTTGCTTTCCTTTGTACCAGGTCTAATACAGGAGCAGTTTCTTTTCAAATCCATCAGCAATTAAGGCAGTTTTAATGGACAGGTGCGTCCATTTATATGCTGTTAACACCCATGTCGGTGGTGACCGGTGGCCCATGCTTGAGTTTATTTTTAAAGTATTTACCTTCTCCAGTTAGCTTGCTCACTGCTAGCTTCCTGATGCTGGTTCAGAATAAAAGCACCTCCCCGGTATATTTCTCAATAATACTGTTACCTTGTGTCAGAAAGATTTATTATCAGCTTATCTTTTTCAGATTTCAATGTTTGCGTCATGCTGTCTGTTCGCTGTGGCCTATCTGAGAGCAGCAGTGGCTCCGGCCCGCAGCAGCTGTGTGGCCTCCTCCCAAAGGCAGCGTGTCTGCTGTCGGCTCATCCGCTTGCTCTGTTCACTCACCTGAGCAGGTAGGTCTGCATGCACTCACCCCACAGCCACGCAAACTGCAAAGACAGGGAGAATGCTTGGGAGAATAAGACTTATCAACGGTCTGGTACTTATTCATATATTAATTTTAGGATTATTTAATGCGAAGACTAACGAAGGTTCTTTAAGTTTAGTTAGTTAATACCTGCTTTAGTAAGAGAAGCTAAAAAATAGTTAAATATTTTAAATAGCTTGCTTTGCACATGCTTTTTAAGATGTCAGACTTTTATGAAAACTTTACCTATGGAACGTTGGGAAATTTGGTAAGCTGAAATATGATTTTTTTAAAAAAATTATCTTTATTGTTGAAAGTATTGCAGATGTCCCCTTTTTAAATATGATTTTTAAAACCTCCTTTTCTTGTACATTAAAAAGGAAATTCCATGTTGTGTACTTGGCTAGTTTTAGCATAATAAAAGGAGTCTTCCTAGAGATTTTTGTAGGTTTTGAAATGAAAATGTATCGTGTTGTTACTATATACTAAATTACAAAACTAAAATCTGGTTTGCACAACTATTATTTGGTAATAATCTTGGCACATTTCTGAATGACTTCACAGGTTAGTGTGCGTGTGTCTGTACACGCCACATATCAGATGAATTAACTTAAGAATCTTTCAGTTACGATCATTGAAATCTGATACATATTATCTGATACATGTACACTTAGCAGAGACACGGTCAGGCATAGTCTATTGACCACAATACTGCTGTAGATTGTTCCCCTCTTATCCACGGGACTATGGTGATGGATAAGCAAACAAATGGATTTTCCACGTTTCCTGTTTCTTCAGGATGGAAACAGTTTGCTTCCAGTGATGTCTTACCCTGAGAATCATGACCTAAACATTTGGAAATTCTGTTTTCCCTGCTTCTTGTCTCTTTCTTTCTCTTAAAATAAGTATTGTTCAAAAATATGCTTAGTATTTTAATAAAAATTATTGGATAAATTTCAGAGCTACAAACATATTTTAGGCATGAAATTATTATCAAGTCCTAATTTGTTTCCAAATTTATAGGGTAGAACAGATTTGTGTGGGCTTAGCTCAGAAATTTAGCAAAAGTATGATTTTTAATATGAAGGTAAAAGTAACTCATAGAAAGAATTATATAAGCTAAAGAAGCACAAATAATATAAGTATATTAATAATTATTTAACAATACTTTTTAGAAGTTTCACTTGAAACTTAATTCATATACAATACAATTGATTTTATTAAATATACTTTTTCTGATTATGAAAGTGAAACATTCTCATAGTAGAAAATGTGGAAGATGTAGAAATGATAGAGAAGAAAGCAAAACTCACACATTATTTCACCACCCAGGAACAGTTATTGCAAAAATTTGATATTATCTTTGTTGTAAATTTTTGTTTTAATCTCAGTATCTCTGAGTAAACAATATTGAGAAATTGGAGCATGCCATTCCATACCTATTTTCTGTGTGTGTGTGTGTGTGTGTGTATGTGTGTTTGTGTGTTTGTGTGTTTGTGTGTGTATGTGTGTATGTGTGTTGCTAGAGAACTTTACAAAATTAAATTTTTGCTAGGCATCATGTGATCTAGTTGGGAAGTTGAACTCATAAGCCCCTCACCAACCCTGATAACAACTGGGATTTAGTGAGATAGTTGAGAATTTAAATTCCAGGTTAAAATTTAGTGTTTTGTCAAAAATGTATTATTTTTATTTCAAAAATCCTTATTGCATTGCATCGTGTCATATTATTATAATCATTTTTTAATTTAAACTAAAATTTTAATTCACTAATGTTCCTTTTATTCACCTCTTACTATCTAAAAAACGTTGGTTTGATTTTTTTTTATTGTTAGAGTATTTCCTAGTGTTTCTCAGAAGATGATCATCAATATATATTTGTTGTCTTTTTTTTTTTTTACCTTCATTTGGTTACTGTTTGGCTAAATATAGGATTGTTGAATTGCCATACAATTTCCTTAATTGTTTCTAAGCTCCTTAGAGCCCCCTGGCTTCCATAATTACAAATGCAAAGTCCTATGCAAACCTGACCCTCTTTCCTTTTTACTTTTAAAATTGCCTTATTGAGGCATAATTGTCATGCAAAGAACTGCCCATATTTAATGTGTACAATGTGATGAGTTGGACCTATGCAAACACCACGACCACCACAATCAAGGAATTTATATACAGATGCCTACGAGGATTTATCCTTTATCTTTGGAATTTAGAGCCAGGCAAAGTGTATGTACCCCAATTTTTATTGATCCCAAGGAGAACAGAAATGAGCTAATGAATTCCTCAGTTCATTTGTTCATTCAATCCATCCTTTATTCAGTTTTGAATGTTCCAGACATTTTCCAGGCCCTGGGGCTATAGCAGTGAATAAAAGACAGTTCATTTCCTTATAACTGACTACTTCTGTTTAATTTTTATCGTATTGTTTTTTTCCTTGTTCCCCTTTCCCCTCTCCTTTTCCTCTGCCTATAGTGACACTCAAGAATGCATCTTTTTATATTAATTTAAACGTGTGTGTATTCTTGAAAAAGCTTCGTGATGTTTCTTATACATTCCTTTAATATGCCCTTAACATTCCCAATGGATGTTTACTTATTTGATTAACATGCATATAAGGGGCTATTTTACAAATATTAACTTATTCCAGCCTCAGAAAAGCCCAGGAAATAGATTATTTTTCAACATGAGAAAACTACAGCCTCAAGAGGTGGGCAGCATGTCCACGGCTACAGAATTAGCGAATGGCCCAGCCCAGACTGGAACAGAGGCAGCTGGGCACAAAGGCCGTCCTGTTCAGCACACAGCTCCAACCTCCCAAGTTCAAAACTGACCTCCTGACTTCCTCCTGCTTCTTGTCCTTCTCCAACCACCATCTTTCCCATCTCAGTAAATGGGACGCCACCGTACAAGCTGTTCAAACCAAAAGCCTTGCTATTTCCCTTGACAACTTTCTCCCAACCAACGTTCAATCCATCGTCAAAATCCTGCCTGCTGTGTATCAGAACATATCCCACCTGACCGCCACGCTCCACGGTCACAGCTGCTGCCCTGGCCCAAACCACCATCTTCACCCCCAGGTCAGTGCCTTGGCTGCCTCATCTTCGCTTCACTTTTGTCCTTGCCTTCAGCCTCTGTTCTCAGCACAGCAGCCACAATGAATCCCTTAGAATGGGTCAGATCGTGTGGCTGGATTCAAAGTGTTTGGTACCTTCTCTTTTCACACAAAGGCAAAACTAAAATTCTTACTGTGGCTTCTAAGGCCCTGTTCAGTGCAGCCTTGTGCAGCGTCTCTGGCGTCCCCATCTATTTTTCTCTGTGTTGCTCGCTTTGCTCCAACCACACTAACTGTGCTATTTTGCAAACACACTAGGCATTCTCCCACTTCAGAACCCGTGCTCTCGCCCTGACTGGTTTGGCTCAGTGGATAGAGTGTCAGCCTGCGGACTGAAAGGTCCCAGGTTCGATTCCAGTCAAGGGCATATACTTTGGTTGCGGGCACATCCCCAGTGTGGGGTGTGCAGGAGGCAGCTGATCGATGTTTCTAATTCTCTATCCCTCTCCCTTCCTCTCTGTAAAAATCAATAAAATATATTAAAAAAAAAAAAAGAACCCGTGCTCTCTGTACCCTCTAGCTCAGTGGTTCCCAACCATTTTTTGGCCATGCCCCACCTAAGCATCTCTCAAATCCTGATGCCCGCTCCCTGTGACATATGATTCTTATTATTCAAAAAGTGAACTTTTCACATGAAGGAAGCCTAAAATGCCATTAACTTGGTCTAAACAAGCTTCCAAAAACATGGCATCCATGAAAGAGAAAATAAAAGAATGAAAGGACAGTTGAAATATTGAGGAAGAAATCACTAAGAAATTGTTTGAAATAATAACAATAATATGAAAAAAAGCAAATAAAGTTTCAAAACATATAATAGAGAAATGAAATGCATAAATATGTCACAATATATATTTATATACTGTATATGAGGCCCCTAGAAACATAAGAAATGCAAAAAATTCACTGATAATAACTCATTCTGGAATTGCCCCCCTTAAAAATCAAATTGTCCCCCTGTGGGGCATGTGCCCCACATTGGGAACCACTGCTCTAGCTGGATGGCACTTCCTCCAGATGCCCACGTGGTTAGCTCCTCACTTTCTTTAGGTCAAATTCAAAGTCATCTTCTTTTAGTCTTTCTTGGCTACCTTATTATTGGATCATTTACGTGGACAAAAAAAAAATCATTAAGAATTTGTCAAGGGTAGCCTTGGAGACAGTGACAGGTGTTCAGAAGCTAACATCTCCAAGAAATAAAGAGAAATGACGTGGGAATCCATAGATGTCTATAGCAGGAGGAGATATCGTTTGAATACAGAGCTTCAAAGCTTGCGGATGGTGGAGTTTAGAAAGGCAGGAGGAACAATGATCTGCAATGACAATGAGAACCAGAGGACACTTACTCTTCCTCCAGGCCCTAGAGTGTAAAGGGGTTCTAGCGATGCAGGAGATAAATCTGTTACCTTTGGCAGAGCACAGGGGATAAAGTATTAGCAGAGGAGAGACCGTTTTCGTTAGAACCAAGTGAGGAAAGCACAGAGAAAAGAGATGAGGAAGTAGAGTGATGACCATGAGCTCCAAAGGGCCCACTTAGAAGGGCTTTGTGAGTAATGGTACATTAAGAGATGGGTTCAGTCATTGTATACAACGGTATGGAAATGAGAGACTGAGCAAGTAGACATGGATGTTTGATGAAGTCAGACACAAAGGGAATGTTGGGATTAGTGTGGATGGCCCTTCACTGGGATGTTGTGAGCACTCCACCAGCGAGTTCCTGTCCTGCCAGACAGATCTATTGAAAACTACAACTCCTGCCAATATATTTTTAATTCACATGTCATTTTCAAACATCAGGTGATTAGATCATTTGCACAGAAGTGTTTGCTTAGCTAGATAATTAACGAGAGATTTATTAACTTTCCATCTTACTATTGTATGTTCAACTTGGATAATTTGTATATACAGATAACAATCATTTCTAGCTATCTACATTTTTAAAGTTGAAAGAAAAGAAACAAAACCACTGTTAAGTCATGTTCTTAGGTAACCATTCAAGTCATGATATCATCATAGAACATTTATTTAAACAAGTACATCTAAAAACAAATTATAACACTTTTAAAAAACTCACACAAAAATGATGTGTAATATTCTTAAATTGGGCCGAAAAAATTATTCTATTGAAATGTCACTAATATTAACGATTTCCAAGATACTATGCTTAAGACTTTATTTCTCTGAAATCAGGTTGTAAAAATATGAGGGGGGAAGCCTCTGAGTTGTTTAGTTTTTTTCTGGAAACCTAACATCTGAGATGCACAAAGAACAAGGCATACAAAATTGGCAAATGCCTTTTTCATCTTCTATGATTTTACTCTTCCAAAACTGAACACGCTTCCCCCCGCTCCCCACTTTCTCTTACTGTTTTTTAGACCCTAGTTTCTCCTGATTGAGTGAACCTACTCAAGATGACATCAGGTAGGAATGATTACTTAACTGACAGTTATTAATTAGCAACACTTGTAAATAGTTACTAGGGTGTGCTGCTTTGTTCCTTTAATATGTCAATAATATAAGTAAAAGAAAGAAGAAAAAGGAGGAAATAGAAAAAAAAAGTCTAAGTAGAAGATTAGTAACTTAACCAATAGAGTTTAGTTGAGTGCATACTTAAACTTCATAGTGAAAAAAGCACTCTTTTGGTAAATTTTAATTATAATTAAAATGTTGCTTAGTTCAATAACCTAGTTTTAGTCTACTGTTTGTTCTTTTATGAAATGGGTCTGGGTGTCTATTCTTTTTTTAATATATTTTTATTGACGTCAGAGAGGAAGGAAGAGGGGGAGAGAAGTAAAAACATCAGTGATAAGAGTCATTGACTGGCTGCCTCCTGAACAACTTGTATGGGGGATCAAGCCCACAACCTGTGCATGTGTCCTGACAGGGAATCGAACCGGGACCTCCTGGTTCAGAGGTTGATGCTCAACCACGGAGCCATGCCAGCTGGGCTTGGGTAGTTATTGAAATAAATTTTATGATTCATTTCGTATGAATATGTTTCCTCCTGGGAACAGAAGGTAGAAAAGGGGTTTGGGAATAGGTGTTTTAAATGTATTAAAATATGCATTTTACTTCCTAAATATTCTATTCATCCAGTTTTAGTTTTGGATAAATTTAGATTTCTATGTGGCCTTGGTCTGTACTGTCGGCCCAGAGTGAACGGGAAGAGATGAAAAGGAAAGCAAACTCCTGGAATTCTAAGGCTTGTTTTATTTTTTAGCAGTTTCACGATATAGTGTCAGGTTGTTCATTGATTACCATAAATTTAGATTCTTTCTCCAAACTGCTATCTATCTATCTATCATCTATCTATCATCTATCTATCTATCTCTATTATATAATATATATCTATTATACTACCTATATATTGCAAAATATACTGCAAATTTCATAATTTAGCTGATAATTACAGAATCATATAGTAACAAAAGGGACATTTTTAAACTGGGTCCCATGAAGCTTTGAGGTTCTTCGGTGAGGCATGAGGAGGAGGCTAGTAGAAAGATGCATCTCTGTTTTTAAAAAAGAGTTTACTTTTATCTGTTTTATGAATTGAGATTGTATGAGAAAAAATTGTAATGGATTTTAGAGCTTAAAAAAGAAAAACGGGCTCCAGCACCAGGCCCACAGCCCACACTGAAGCTCGGGCTCCCTGGGTTCTGTCTCAGAGCTCTTCTCTCTATGCACCGCCTGCTCACCACACACTTTGGTGCACATTTAACATCCTAATCATTTGGGCCACAACGACACTTCGTTGGTTCCATTACTCAACACATTCTGCTTTCTTATATGAAAGTTCAAAGCTTACAGCTCTTGAAAATAGTTTATCTGAGTTGATTTTTTTTTCTGCAGTTAAAAAACACACACACACACACACAAAACCTGGGTTAGTAAAAAAGAAACTGTACTAGTAATCGAGACATCAGGTCATGTTCCAGCTTTAATGGTTTTATGAACTAAGCCTCAATTTCTTGCTAATAAAATTGTCATGTCTTCCTTATAAAGAATCATGTTGCTATTATCGATGTCAAAATGTTCAATGAAATAATGCATGGAATATATGTGTAAGTGCTTTCAAAGTGGAAGTAAAGGTATATATATTTCTTTCCACTATAATCAATTATAAAATAAATTTTTTTAAAATGTGATCAAATGCAAAAACAGGCATTAGTGGATATTACTTCTGTATAAGAGACACATTTAAAATATTTCACTTTTTTTTTTTACTAAGGCATTTCAATTCTAAGCTTTTGGGAAATTTGTATCTATCTTTTAGAACATGAGCTTCCCTTACAAAACTCCCATAGATTAAAGCATATGAAAAATTCATCATTTGGTCTCTGACTTATAGAAGTGGCAGTTTTATATATTTCAACCTAATAATTCACCTTTTTGTTTCTAGCACAGTATCTGACATCAAGTAGATGTTAAAAAATTATTAAACTCAACTATTGAACAAAATTTAGAAATAAAGGCTCTTTCCAAATAATTATTTTTCAGCAAGAAGTAATAGGTAAATGTGTTAGAAGAGAAATCAAATTACCAATGATTCACTCTCTTTTTTTTCCCCTTCTAGGTTTTTGGGATAGATATATGGGAATAAAAGATGGAACTGTAACCTGATTGTGGATTTCAAAGGAAGATTCAGCACACAGAGGAAAAAACAAAGTAGTGGATAGCCTTCAGGAACGATGTCCCTTTGCCATAATATAGTTAATATTTCCTGTGTGAGCAGCAGCTGGTCCAATGATGTCCGTGCTTCCCTATATAGTTTAATGGTGCTCATCATTCTGACCACAGTGGTTGGCAATCTGATAGTTATTATTTCCATCTCACACTTCAAGCAACTTCACACCCCAACTAACTGGCTCATTCATTCCATGGCCACGGCGGACTTCCTGCTGGGGTGCGTGGTCATGCCTTACAGCATGGTGAGGTCTGTTGAGCACTGCTGGCCGTTTGGGGAAGTCTTCTGTAAGGTCCACACCAGCACGGATATCATGCTCAGCTCAGCATCCATTTTCCACCTGTCCTTCATTTCCATTGACCGATACTGTGCCGTGTGTGACCCGCTGAGGTACAAAGCCAAGATCAGTGTCTTGGTTATTTTTGGGATGATCGTCATCAGCTGGAGCATCCCTGCCCTTTTCGCATTTGGGATGATCTTTCTGGGGCTTAACTTCAAAGGCGCTGAACAGATGTATTACAAACACGCTCATTGTTCAGGGGGCTGCTCTGTCTTCTTTAGCAAAACACCCGGGGTCCTGGCCTTTATGACTTCTTTCTATATCCCTGGATCTATTATGTTGTATGTCTATTACAGAATATATTTCATAGCCAAAGGGCAGGCAAGATCGATTAACAATGCAAATCAGAACCTTCACATTGGATTGGAAGAGAAAAATGGAATGTCACGGAACAAAGAACGCAAAGCGGCAAAGACTTTAGGGATTGTGATGGGGGTTTTCCTCGTGTGCTGGTGCCCTTTCTTTCTCTGCACAGTCATGGATCCTTTCCTGGGCTATGCTATCCCGCCTCCCTTGAATGATGCATTGATTTGGTTTGGCTACTTGAACTCTACTTTTAATCCAATGATTTATGCATTTTTCTATCCCTGGTTCAGAAGAGCGTTGAAGATGATTCTATTTGGTAAAATTTTCCAAAAAGATTCATCTAGGTGTCAATTATTTTTAGAATCAAATCCATAGAATTACAATACTTTACTCTTTTGCAAGACAGCTGGTGGTGATACTTATGAACACGGCGTAACCAACTTCATGCACCAACTGCATGGTCTTTAAGCCAGTCACCTGATTTAAAGAAGGTATGAGACAGGATGATCATATCTTGCTTCCTCCTTGGGATGCAGTACATATGATCTTAGCCGTTCTTACCATACACATGGAGCTTTGCAGTCCAGAATGTAAGGTCCTACATTTAAACAAACTGTTCCTGTTTTTTCAGGTACCATCATGGAATGGAAAGTGGTCCTCTACTCAGTTATTCGGTGGTAGAAACCACAGGCTGCATTGGAAATGCAAATTAGAGTCCTTTGTCACGTATTTGCTTGAATATGTATGGTTGTGTTGTTGTTTTTTGGTAAAATTACACATAAATGTTATCTTTAAGTAATTATTTATAGAACTTTGCTTGTTATATGTACTTTGTTGTTGTTTTTTGGTAAAATTAATTAATTTTAGCTGATTTGTAATCAGCTAAAATTACACATAAATGTTATTTATTAAATAATTATTTATATATACTTTGCTTTTTACCACAAATCCTTATTAATATATCTTCTAATTATTTTTTACGTTTATTTTTTTCACTGTTTGTATTATAATTTTTAAATATCTCCATTTTCATCTTTTGAATATAGGTATTCCTAATTCTCATACTTGTAGGAAATTTGCAAAAATGAAGAAAAAATATAATAAAGCAACATAGGAAGAAAAATATCACTTATAGCTCACTTCCTGAAATAACTATATCATTTAAAATTCTTAAAAACATCATTTTTGAGTGATTATATATTTCATTGTATGAATGTATAATGATATCTTTTAACTATTTCCCTTTTATTGACCACATAGATTTTTTAAAATTCCTTTTATTAAAAAATAGAAACTAAATTAGTTTCTGCCTGTTACCTGCTATTGAAGTTCATGAAAGTATCTGGAAGGATTTTAACCATATTTCAAGATTATTCTTGGTACGTAGGACTCAAAACGTACGCTACATGAAGTAACACACATTCCCTGGCTGGGCTCGAGGCTGCACCAAAAGAGAGGCTGTCATCCATCAGAGCAGTGACACCGGAGGGATAACCAAAGGCATCATGGGAGTAGGCAGGCCACGCCCATCCGGATGGCTGTACAGAGAGAGGGACCCGTGGTGGTTTCAAATAAGGTCCCGGAAAGGCAGTGAGCAGACGTTCTGATGACGAGCATTGATTTGCCACTGAGCTGTTTCTCACTCAGACGTTTCGCGGTCGCTTTCTTGCTGGTGGCACCAGCGGCTGGGATTGAGCTATTTACTAATAGTGACGTATGCTGCTGAGTAAGTTCGAATAAGGCAGCTGATTTTGAGTGAAACGAAAGTTCCTGCATGTAAATTTCTGTTCACAAACCCGATGATCTGAGAACCTGTCAAATCCTTTCATCTATTACAATCTGTTTCAGGACTATTTTTCATTGAGCTGACTAGATTTTTGTTCTAGTCCATTTAAAAAACATTATGAGGCATCTTTCCATTTAGTGTAGAGTAAGGCAAGTTGTCTCGAATCATTCCCAGTTTCAAAAGCTCCCTTGACTTTTGTTCACCTGTGAGACCATTTTGCCAAATTTAAAAAAGAGGATAAAAGCATTTAGACTTTTTTCTGTACCTCACAGCAAGTTTCTGTGGTGTTCTTCATTGGTACCCACACATTTAAGATTATTCCTAGGTGTTTTGTACCTTTGGGTTGTGTGTTCTGTCTACAGTGAATGAATCTTTTTGAGCCATTATATTTTCTATGTAACCATTAGCGTTGGCATAAAGTAAAAATTTTTTTTTGCTTTTTCAGTTGACCTGTTTGGGTTTTCACGAGACTTAGTCATATTATCCTCAAGCAACTTTAGCTTTACCTCCTTTCCAATAGTTATGATTCTTATTTATATTTCTTGATGTACTTTATTAGCCAGAAATTTCTATAGCAATAGTGATAGCAGTCATCCTGAGTTACATTTATTTTAAATTACTCTCTAGGCTTTAATATTGAGTCCTTATTTTTCTTGGGATAAATTCATGACTCAGATAATTCTACCTATTTTACTTAGCCCTAAAGCCCTTATAGCCTGTTTTTGTGGCCTGTTTTTCTTTAATGCTTCTAATAAGAGATAACCCATAACCCACCTTTCAGCAAAACAAAAAGAAAGACTTACCTTGTTTTGCCATATTCCCAGCTTTACCCTAGCTTCCATTTCTTCATGCAGAACGTATTTTTAAAAATATATATATCTTTATTGATTTCAGAGAGGAAGGGAGAGGGAGAGAGATAGAAACATCAATGAGAGAGAGATTCATTAATCGGCTGTCTCCTGCACACCCTCTACTGGGGATCAAGCCTACAACCAGGGCATGTGCCCTTGACTGGAATCTAACCTGGGACCCTTCATCCCCAGGTGAACGCTCTATCCACTGAGCCAAACTAGTAAGGGTCATTACATTTCCTTTTAAAAGGTAGTGTTGAATTACATTATCCTCTTTCTTAATAAGTTTGACAACTACAATTATGCAAAAGACTAGCAGAAGATTTACTCTTCTCTACACAGAAGAGATTTAACCTGTCGGGCCCATCTAGCTCAGTGGTTGAGCATTGACTTATAAACCAGGAGGTCAGGTTTCAATTCCCCATCAGGGCTCTATTCCCAATAGGGGGTGGAGGGTGCAGGAGGCAGGAGGCAGCTGGTTGATGATTCTCTCTTACTGATGTCTCTCTCTCTCTCTCTCTCTCTCTCTCTCTCTGAAATCTATAAAAACATATTTTTAAAAGTAAATAAATAAGCAGAATGGAGTTAACCTAATGACACACTTTTGCACGGTTAGTCTGAGAACAGAACCCTAGCAAGGGATTAGTTTCAATAGTACCCTCTTCTAGGCATTTAGAGAACACCACCCTAGCAAGTGATTAGGCTCTACAGTGACCTCTTGTGGGCATTTAGCTAACAGCACCCTCGTAAGGGTTTAAACTCAGTAGCGCCATCTGGTGGTAATTCTAAGAACAGCACCCTAGTATGATATCAGACTCTATAGCGCCCTCTTGTGGGTACTTAGGTAAAAGTACCCTTGTAAAGGATTAGGTTCAATAGTGCGCCCTCTTATATGCAGTCTAGAGAAGAGCACCATATTAGGGAATTAGTCTCAATAGCACACCCTTGTGGGCATTGTCCAAACAGCTTGGGCTCAATGACACCCTCCTGTGAGCATTCTAGAGAACAGCATTGTTTTAAGGGATTCAGCTAAATAGGGCCCTCTTGTGGGCATTCTGAGAATAGCACCTTAGTGGGGTATTAGTCTCAATGGCACACTCTAGAGGACACTGTGAGAACAGCACCCTAGTAGGGGATTAGTCACAATAGTGCCATCCAATGGACATCCTGGGAACAGCACCCTAATAAGGGAATTGTCTCAATAACGCCTTCTGGTGGGCATTGTGAGAATAGCATCCTAGTTTGGGATTAGGCTCAATAGCACCCTCATGTGGGCATTATCAGAAAAGAATCTTAGTAAGGGATTAAAATCAATAGCATCCTCTTGCAGTCGTTTGGAGAACCGCACCCTAGTAAGAAATCTTCAAGTCTGAAAAAAATCCTTGTCTCACAGCTCAGAATGTCCATTAGATGGCACTATTGAGACTGATCCATTTCTAGGGTGCTATTTTCAGAATCTCCACAAGAGGGCGCTATTGAAACTAATCCCCTAGTAGTGTGTTGTTCTCAGAATGCCCACAAGAGGGTACTGTTGAGAATAATTTCCTACTATGGAGCTGTTCCAAGAATGCCCACTTGATGGCGCTATTGAGACTAATCCCTTTCAAGGGTGCTGTTCTCCTAATGTACAGTAGACGGCGATATTGAGACTAATCCTTTATTAGGATGCTGTTCTCATAATGTTCACAGTTAGGCTCTATTGAGACTAATCGCCTACTAGGGTGCTGTACTCAGAATGTCCACGTGAGGGTGCTATTGAGCCCAACCCCGTTCTAAGATGACAAAAGTTGCCAAATTTTAACTTCTAGAGTGCCGGGGGCGCAATCGTGCTCCTGCTGTCTTTCGCCAAAATTGCCGGGAGCGCTATCAAAGCTTTGAAATGGCATCCAGTTCTAAGTCTGCTTTTATTAGTGATGATGATATTGCTAAATATGTCAATGTAGTAAAGGTTTCCTTAAGTTTTTGAATATGTAACTTCATTTACTTGCGATTCATAATTTGTTTCCTAAACTGCTGTAAAATCAGCAAAAATGCCTTGGCAATTTTAGCATAGTTCCTAGGATATTGGTTGGCACTCAAAGGGTTAAAGATGGAATAAAAGCATTTTGACATTTTTTTGTACCTTACAGCAAGTTTCTGTGGTGTTCTTCATTTGTTCCCACACATTCTTCTTAAGATTATTGCTAGGTGTTTTGTACCTTTGGGGGGAGTGTTTTGTCTACTGTGAATAAATCTTTTTTAAGCTATTATATTTTCTATGTAACCATTAGCGTTGGTATACAGTAAAAATTTATTTTAGTTTTTTCAGTTGACTTGTTTGGGTTTTCACTAGACTTAGTCTTACTATCCTCAAGCAACTTTAGCTTTACCTCCTTTCCAATAGTTATGATTCTTATTTATATTTCTTGATGTACTTTATTAGCCAGAAATTTCTAGAGCAATAGTGATAGCAGTCATCCTGAGTTACATTTATTTTAAATTACTCTCTAGGCTTTAATATTGAGTCCTTATTTTTCCTTGGGATAAATTCATGACTCAGATAATTCTACCTATTTTACTTAGCACTAAAGCCCTTATAGCCTGTTTTTGTGGCCTGTTTTTCTTTAATGCTTCTAATAAGAGATAACCCATAACCCACCCTTTCAGCAAAACAAAAAGAAAGACTTACCTTGTTTTGCCATATTCCCAGCTTTACTCTAGCTTCCATTCGCTCATGCAGAGGTATTTTTGTCCTTTGATTGTCTAGAGTCCATTTTCTATCTGTAATTCTTTTCAGCTAAACATAGTCTATTGAGAAATTTCTCATTTCAACTAGACATAGTCTGTTGGAACTGTAATGAGAAGACAGGCTCCCTGCTCTTCCCCTTAGCTAAACAGATGGGTGAATAACACAAGCTAAAAATTTCTTTAGAATTTAAACATTTAGCAGAGGGGAAAAG